ACGTTATGTGCATCACTTCATTTAAAATAACCTATAGCATCTATAATATTTAAAATCTATTTATTTGTATTATCTTCCATATATTTTCCTATTATTATCTTGTCCGCGCCTATCAGCTGCCGAGTGTATAAGGCATCTAAACATTGTCGCTTTCATTCGAAACCCTTTTATCGTTGGCAGAACGAACTGGCTATAAAGTAATTGCGCATTTTTATCTGGAAGTAATGTAAATGAGAGCTAGTTTCCTTTAAGCAGGTCAATGCAAATGCATTCATTGTCAGGCAGATGTTTAGTCGTAATAAATTACTTGTCTTATCCTGCACAGGTGAATTTTTTTATTTCATCACAGATAATAGGAGTTATGTGTCTCCAAAAATTAATTTCCAGAATGGATCAATATAAATATTTATGTCACTTTGTACGAAAATAAAATTCATGAGCTCCATAAACATACTTTCGTCACGTTTTTCATCACACGTGTATTTTGATTCCTAATACTAACATCCGAGTTGAATGCAAATTCTAATACTCTTTTATTAGTTACTAGGTATGTCTAATTAATTCTGTAGAATGCATAATTAATTTTATTCAAGTCTTCGACATCTGGCAGCAATGGTAACTTATTGTCCTGTTCTCCATTATTCGTCTATTCGATTGTCATCATCTATTTTGTCCGCCATAAATTACCTCTCAATTGTTTATCTTTCATTTATACTCGTCATCTGCCTCTTATCTTTCGTTTACTCTCATCTCATGTCTCGTCATATGATTTTATCAGCAGCTGATTTAAGAGCAACAGTGGATAATCAGAGATTAATCATCGCAAAGGATAAGCATTTATTATGCGGCTATATATGAAAGGATATATCTTGGTACCAGAAATAAGATCATACTGAAAAAGCGACATGCATACAGGAAAGTGACTAATCACAGTGGCATTATCTCGCTCGTTTCCTTTGGTAAAGAAATATAATTCTTAAGGAACTGGAAAGAATTTTATTTATTTGAATTGCTAAAAAATGAAACATATTTCAGATGACAGTTTTGCACCCGAAGGTGGATTCTTACTTGAATTTGCACCTGAATGTTTACAAGTTGAAGGAATATACATAGGAAAATTTTTCTAACCTCGGTAAAGAGACCGTCAGTTTAAAATGTAAATGACATTATATTGCAACAATAAAATTTGTTATTATCACTGTCATATGAATTACGTGTTAAGACAAAATATATTGCAAATTTTTTCGAAATTTAATACTGTGGGCGTTATTTTCAACTCCATCAAAATCAGTTTCGAAACTAATTTCAGGTATAGAATTAAATGAAAGAAAATTTAACGTTTTTAGAATCATTAGTTATGTCGATACAGGAAACTGAAGAAATCCGCAAAGCCCTCGCCGGGATTCGAGCTCTGGACCTCCCGAACACACATCGAGCGTGCTTCCAGTTGCACCACGAAGCACATAGATTGTATGTGGAAAGGAAGCGAAAAAGACCTTACACACTCTTCTTATGATGCAGTTTGTTACTATGATACGCAAAGCACTTTGTTACTGTGATACGCAAAGAACATAGGAGATATACTAATGATGTATGTTGTGAAGGAAAAAATATCAAAGTTTCGTGTTTGGTCTCGGACAAAACTTCAAACTTCTTGTAAAATAAAAGCAACTTGAAAATGTGTGTAAAGTTTTAAATGAATTTATGGTATAATTTTCTTAAAATTCTCTTGTTTGTAAGTATCCCCTTGAGAGATCACTTGTGGCCATTTGTAAATAATTCGTTAATCTCCCTCCACCACAACCACCCAGAAAAAAAAAAAAAAATCTGTCCTTTTTCTGTTTCGTGCTCTTTCATTCCGATATTATGAAACAAAAGTAACCTGAGAACAGAAATAAGTATTTTCATGAATTTAAAAAAGTTAATTTAATCATATTAAAATCAGAAAATAGAAATGTAACCAAATATCACATACCTTTTTTTTTTTTTTTTTTTTTTTTCATAGTTGTCAGGTGAAGAATTCAGTTTGTTAAACAGGTACAAATCCTACAGTAAATTAAACTATTCCAATATGTTTTATTATGAACAATTTTAATTAGTTCTTTTAATAATTGAGAACTATGTTAAATATCAGCGATCAAGCAAGAACTTCCAGTTTAATAAAATGTATATATTAATTATATAACTTAAGAAAACACCATCTTTTATGAACTAGATTAGAACAATCGATGACGAATTATGCATCATCGATTGGAAGGAATATAGTTGATATGCATTTGATAAAACCTATTTTAATAAGGTTCAATATGAAAAACATTTTAGTAACAGGTTCACACAAATATGTTATATAGGAAGTTTAAAAACAGTTTTAACAGTCATTTGAAAATTAATTCAGCGATATTATCTCTTTCACGTGCATTTATCTAATAGTAGTCGTTTAAGGTATTTCTCCCACTTCCCTAGTGTGCTTTCATGGTGTAACGGTAGCACACTGGGCCGGTATTCCAGAGGTCCATGGTTCAATTCCCGGCGAAGGCGGTTGCATATTTTTTATCTTTTCTGCTTCTTCCAATTAACCTAATGACTCTACAAGTGCCGCCCGAACTAAAAGGGTTCTGGATGATGATTCTCCGCACCCAGGATTTGGCGACTAGATCCCCTAAAACCCTAGTCGCACTTTAAAAAGGGGAGTATATAAGGTACTTTTCCCACTTCCCTAGCGTGCCTTCATGGTGTAACGGTAGCACACTGGATCTGTATTCCAGAGGTCCGTGGTTCGATTCCCGGCGAAGGCGGTTGCATATTTTTCATCTTTTCTGCTTCCAATTAACCTGATGACTCTACAGTCGAGCATAGGTAAAATTTGATAATACTTATACAATTCCTTAAATATTGAGAAATAATGATAATCTAATTGAGAAATAATGATAATCTAAAGTACAGATTATGAATATTTCATCCATCGTAAACTGTATTTTTTTATTGTAATATAATAAAAAAAACTTTTTTTCTCTTTAAATCAAGAGATAATTTCTAATAATTAAACCTTCTATTTTTTCTTTATTTCTTTTTAACACGTGATGATTAAGTGTGCTCCCAGAAAATATGCTTATTGTAACTTTCCATTTATGCTAAATTATTCTCTCTCATTGAAACTGTAGATTGTATCTTGAATTGACTAATAATGGCAGCCTTTATATTGCAGAATTCGTAGCATTTCGTCACTACTAAACTGTCTATGTATTTTCCGCTAAAATTTTATTGTATTACATTAGTAATCATAGCTGCATCTTTTCCTCTTCATTTTACAATGTGATCCCTAAATGGCGTCACGAAATGCTTTTAATCTGCCCTCTTTTGTAAAATTGTCACAGCACACGTACGTACATCCTCTACAACTATGCACGCCAGCTATACCGCTGAAGGTTCTTTTAAACTGCCCAGAGTAGTTGAATCGAAAGAGACAACAGGTGAAATTGAGGAAGAACCTTTAAAACATTTAGGCCTAACACTTATTTCCTATTGCTGCGCTTGTGCATTTGTTTTTTCGCGTATAACCTTGTATGCTCAATAAAATACAAAACATGACTCACGCAAGCGGAAAACCTTTCAGAAAAAAACAGAACGATTATTCTTAAATTTCTCGTAGCGAGAAGTCTGAAATTCTTGGCAAAGACAGAGCCGCCCTTAGCTTGTCACTGAAGCATATCGCCAACCAGTTTAGCCCAATTATATTTGCAATTATAATCAACCAATTTAATACGTACAGAAGTTAAATCTTCCTTGGTCTAATATAATAGAATAATTTCGTGACTTTATAGACGGGTTAGCAGCGACGATAACATAAAATTGAAACTCAAATTTCCCTTTAAAAGTAACTATAGAATTAACGCATTACTCAGAGAAGCTCAGTGTGACCTGAAAATGAACAACTATGCGGGGAAACTTTAGCTTATCTGATAGTTTCACCAACAGTATTTCCCGCTTGACATAAACAAAGTATTTAAGGCTTCATTCTTCGATGCCATTGAGGAATCTCGAAGAGCGTCCATTAAGAACTGGTTAAATTCTAAATCTGTTCTAATAGAAAGGAAGGAGATTCTTAGATTTAGGAATAAATAGTTTAAAAAATTTATACACTTTCTGAAACTTGCGAAAAAGATTTAAATACTACATTACTTACATATGAGTTTGATATCAATATATTTAAGGTAAAATATTCAACGGTTATTAGCTCTTCGTTCAACATTCCATGATTCACATACTGGATTATTTACTTTAGGCAAAGCACGCAAAGGCTGTCGAGATATATTTCATACCAACATGCTTTGGCTGAGAATGTCTCAGGAGATGATTTCGGACAACGGAATATTGGTGATTCGAAACGCGATCAAAATGAATGGAGAGACTAGTTAAAGTGGCTCTTTTGTTTTTTTCTTTATGTATAAAAGGAATACAAACCAGTTTCCCCCCTAAACTCTGCGTAGGCATCCATCCTCTTAGACCTAACAACTTTAGTATGAATTGTCGTAATTTTATAAACCTAAATCCAATTCGATCAACACAGTTAGCCTCCGCTAACTGTCTAGGCTAGTGATTCCTGCCAAGCATTTCAATGAAATGAATGCTTAGCAACCTCATTAAGCACTTGAGAAATGCGATCTCGAAACGGGATTTTCCGTAGCAGTTGGTCCCTATGAAAATTAGTGATAAACAGCCAATTTATTTTAATGCTATGTATGACAATTTTTATACAAAGTTTGCCTTGAGCAGGAATAATATTTAAAGGGTTCCATTAGGACAAAAATAAATGAGAAATATTGATCTATAAACTTAAAAAGTATTAAGATGTTATCTATTATTTATTTATTTGTTTTAAACTAGAATCATTCTTAACCGCGCTGTTGGTATCGGTATTTAAGGTGAGCCTTAACTTGGATCTAGGTTCTAATTCCAGAGAAGGCATGGATGTTTTAAACATACAGTGTTTTTCAATGCAGGGGTTCTTAAAATACTGTCGATTCGAAAGTCTTCCAGAGACGTTGATGCTAGAAGAAAGGGGGTTGAGAACTTCGTATCTGTCCCCCAGGAAGAGGTCTCCATTCTCCATCAAAATTGGGACGAAGCTGAGTAACGACGGGGCTCAACAATTGCCATGGTAAGCTCCTCCTTTGATTGGTCTCCTCACCATTGGTGAAAAGATATCATTTTAGTAGTTTGTATGCTACGATACAATTTTTGACAATGAATCATCTACAAGTATTGAATCTTTCCGACATTGTTCAGTTAGGCATCAATTATGACTGTAGCTCACGTAAGATCCAAGGTAACATCCCCCTCCCCAACTGAGCGTTAGGAAATAAAATTTCATTTTAGCTTTTAATGATGTTGCAACACAATTGTTAAAACTTTAATTATAGCTTGAAGAAATTTTAAAACCTTTCGTTTACTGTATGGAATCATCTAAAATGAATGGCAATGAATTCGTTATCAAATAATTGCGAAATGATATGGAGGAGAAAGACACTAATATTCAGGGGCAGAGGGAGATTCTTCCGAAGAAGATTATCTCATGTTAGTCACTCTCGAAATGGTTAGAATATTAAAATACAATTTACAGTAATCTAAGATTGTTTCTTTCGTTTAATTTTATAATTTGAGAATTACCTAATGTACATGTTATTATCGTATAAATAAGAATTTATTTCTCTCGTTTTCTTCAACTTAAAAAAACTTAATGAAGCGACTGAGAAAAAAGCCTTTTAGTCATAAAATACGAATAGTCTGATTTTTAATTTTATAAATGTTATGAAAACCTCACTGTCATAATAATTGTTTTGCGGTAATATTTTAAGCTTGGAATAATTTGGTAAATTTATGGAACAAAACGACATATTACTGGTATAATTTTTCCCATAACAATCTTGCTAAGAAATTAACGAAGTAAAAATATTTTATACAAAAATGACCATAGAGTTTACTATATATCACAATTCTAAAAACATAAATTCTATTGAGATTTTAAATTTAGATAATGCATTTCATATCGTAAGATAAGTAAAATTTCACAAGCTATAAAATTTTAAGCTTTCAGTCATAAATAATAACGAAGAAGAATGTTCCCATAAAATTATTAATATTCAATTACTATAAGTTACAAATGCCTGGCTTTATTAGCCACCTTCCCTCCCAATAATTTTGTGGTGCAGAGCATGTGTTTAAATGCTCTTTTCCCCATGAATTGTCTAGTGTCATTAAGAAAACACACTGGGGAGTATCTGAGTCTGATGTAAAAGAGATGAGGACTTGTATGGTAGTCATGTGCAGTTAGAAGATGAAACAATCCCACCACATCTGTAGTGCGAGGTTTGGTTTCGTATATTTTGATTATGGCAAAGCATGTGAGACCTTTCTGCCTATCAAGGTAAGAAATACCTTGGTGGAGGACTTTTTAAGGGAACTGGCTCGTATTCACGTTACACATGGAGGAAACCATAAAATCCCTCCATCCAATCAGCCCGTTCGCTGGGATTTGAACCAGGGTTGAACATACTGGGTTTAGCATTCTTACCCCTCGGTAAGCTGGCTGCGGTAGAAGGTTTACTCATACTGAAAATGATATATATTAATTTCAAATTTCCAGGTAAAAATAATTTAAAGCAAACTGAAATACAATTCATCTAATCAATTACTAAGCCAATACTTATGTAAATGATAAGAACTTAATTATTCCTTTTTCTCAAATTTATTCCGCAAAAGATAACAAAATATAATCGAGAAATAACCTGATAGTTTTCTAAGTGACAATTAATTTCTCTACTTAAGCAAAGAGTATATGTAACACCAGGAGCTTCAAAAGCAGTCAAAAAAAATGGCAAAAGCCTTGCTTTGTGCAATCATTATTAGCAAAAATCTTGAAGCAGGCTTCTGCACCCTTCAGTTTAACCTCAAGACCCAAGGTTTAGAGTATATTACTTAAACCACAAAGGCTAAGATTCAGGAGTATACGTTAAACAAAGTCTGTAATTTATTTTTATTAGAAGTTTGAACACGCCATTTGACCTCAAAAGCAAGAAAAAAATGTTTTGACACCTTTGTATATCCCGAATTTGCCCCTAACTTCCTGTCATGGAAACTGATTAAGCGTCTTTGGTGAACCTAGCTCCCGAGTAAGTAGAGACTAATTGTAGCAATTTGGGATAGGTCTGCTTGCTTGGAGGCCGAGAGGAAGCTAAAGGGCGGGAGACTTTGGGGTTTGCAAAGATTACGATTGACTCCACTGAAGCATGAAATGATTTTGTATAAATAAGTTTATTTTTATACTTCAGTACTATCCTACACTACCAGACCCAAACTGTGACCTAAAATCCAAAATTAAATTTAATATTTTAAGGGGAGTTGGAACCCCATAATCTTCAAAAAATTTTGATTTCGGATTTTCGCATTTTCAAATTCTCTACACTTTTATCTTTCTAAAAATACCATTTTTTAATCTCTATGAAAATTAGAACTGTTAAAAAATCTAGCTTTAATTTGTCATCTACTGCTTTGATCAAAGAGGATTTTTACATAAAAACGCGTTTTTCTCCAAACGTGATTTTTTTACACTCAATGTGCCCTTTCTCAGGAACTACTGCTCACAGGTATATAAACTTTTTATGGCTTATTTATTAGGTTCCCTAATATTTACTGAAATGAGCTTTTTGTAATAAACTTAGAAAAAAAAATTTTTTAATTTTTTTTTTTCTAAGTTTATTACAAAGTGCTAAATTTTACTATGCCTAGCAAAATATCCTGTAATTTACTCTAAAATTCAAAATGTTTCAAAAGCTCATTTCAGTATAATCAGATAGGTATACTTTAATTACAGAAAATATTTCAAGCTTGTATCTACAGCAGATTTTGAGAAAAGGTACATCGAAAATGGCCAATTTAACATTGTCGGTATAGGGGTTTCTGATACCCCTTAATTTAAATCTGGGACAAGAAGAAAACTTTAAAATAATTATTACGCGTCTTCCTACATCATTTGCAAAACATAAGCAAAAATTAAAGTTTTAAATTTTTTCTACATTTTGTTTTTAAATTCCAAGTAGAGAGGCGGGGGACTTGTTGATGTCTCTTTGCCCCAACAACGGATAAATAGTTCTGAAAGCTAATCATCTGTAAGCATTTAAACTATGTTGCGTAAACCTAAATTGCGTGCAAATTAGACATGTTTTAATGAAAATGTAATGTTGTTGAAATTTTCTTCACGAGTGTCTGAAATGATTATTATTGCTCTGTATCCTTCGTTTGTTTAAAATTCCACAATAAACCTCTACTTGATTGACTTACTTGATAGCTGCTATTGTCATAAAAGGCGGAAAAGATTTTCACTCAAATTTATTATTCCGGTTTCCGAAATAACAAGAAGATTCTGAACACGCATTGTACCACAATGAATTCCTAAGCTTACTTTGTAGAGTGTTTTCAAAAAAATGGTAACAAAGGTAAGAAATTAAATGAACTTTTTAAATACTTTAAAATATCTGCACAAGAGAAAGTAATAAATTACTTATTTTATTATCGGACATGTCCATGTGAGTAATTTGAGTGTTATCGTCTACCAATAATGTATATAGGGCAACTTTTTAATGGTCATCTTACAAATCTAAAAGTAGTATACATTCCTCAGGTCAAATATAACATGAAGTTGCCTTTTAATAGAATAATGGATAATATTTCTCATTTGAAATTTTAAATGGCTGTGTATTTTTAGATGGCAAACTGAATGATTATTGCTTTCAAACATAGGAAAATTCCTCTTAACTTCTATTCTAATATATAATTAAAAATTTCCCTATTTCAACAATTTTTAAAAAATCTATTCAAAAATATCTGAATTTTTATTTAAAAATTTTCTAAGTAAATGTCTTTTTATTGGAAGCATGATTATTTATCAGAAGCATCATAAATATTCGCATCCAGAGAATTTTCTGGACTGTGGGCTTAGGGTTTGAAATAAAACTTTAAATCTCAAAAATTTTTTTTTTTTTTTTCAATAGTAAACCGATGCAAAACTACTTGAAAATGGATAATGAGAAAAAGAGATCTCTGTCTTTTTTCAACTTTATGAGCATACATAATGCAGTGAAATTAGTGATGTGTCAATGTCAATATTTTATCCATTTTCTAAACTCCACTTAAAATTATACAATTTCGAGTTTTTGTTGCCAAAATAACTTATAGTTTTATCTGTCTATAATTTGTATATTTATAATTCAGATTCGAGCTGCACTAGCTTTATGATAAAAGTTAGGTTAGTTTATATGAATATAGTAAAGCACACGAAGCCTATCTCTTTAGAGGGTAGGATGTCTTCGTGGAGGATTTTCTAACTGAAAACTGGTTGGTATTCACGTTACACATTACGAACACCACAAAAATAAACCAAGCCAGCCGTTTGCCCAGTATCGAGCCCAGACAGAAGTATTAGTATTCAGCGGTCTGTTTCGCGATACTGATACAGAGTATTTGATTCTGTAAAGATCGGAATGGTGCTTTTATAATTCAAGGCAAATAATTTATTTTGATGGATTAATTGTTAATGCACTCTCATCACTTCTTTTCCTCAAATTTCATTAAAATATACTCATGTTAGCTTAAAAATTTCTGCTTGAGATTTTACAAGTGCCTTTAACAGTGCATTAATTATAACCCAGAACTGCATTCATTTGTTGATGGTCAAGCTGGATACCATGCTGGAAATACCACACAAGTTCGTGAGGGGGGGGAGGCCTCTAATGACACTTCTTCCACTTCCCGACAAAGCTTTTTATGAAACAAAGACCAAATTATAAAACCGTTACAGGGGTTCCCTTCTCACATCCAATGTACTCTGAGACAAAACAGAAGTTTCCAATGCATCATTACGAGAACCGATGATTGTCTTCCTGTCGATTGCGGATTCTGAGTATTATCACATTTTCTAATCTCAAGGCTGAGTCCGTTTCGTGCGTGTGATAACTTTTTTCTTTTTCTGTAAGCATCGCGTGTTTACAATAGGAAGTTGGGATGAAGGAACATTGCATCTGTTCTGTCCCGAGTAGCAAGAGGTGACATTAATCAACCGTAAAAGATGATTTCTGTAATTTGCATTGATTACATCGAACAATGCTGAGTGGTGCAGTGAAGTGTCATTTCGGGTTAATAATTCCAGTGAAGGATAGCAATTTTGCGCTCATGAATTCTTATCCTGTAGTCACTCGTTGTTCATTTAAAGTGGTAATTTGGCAAACGTATTCTTACAGTTAATTTTCATGAGCAGTTTTAAGCTAATGGCGGTTTAATGATAATAAATTAACTAAAATTTCTTCACAAAATGAGCACAATTGTCTTAAATAATTTATATAATTTAAAAACTGCAATACAGAAACCACAATTCAATTTAGTTTTCAATTTTTTGTGGATCACCCTCGGATAGACGATCTATTCTGCTTTCATTCAATTAGCAGATTTGAAAATTTTTATCTTCTTAAATCTTTCTATTCGAAGTTAGCTCAAATGTATAAATGTGATTTTTAAATTTTACAACTTAAATAGAAAAATTATCATACTATGCTATTTATAAGATTAATTTTTAATCAAGATTTAATTTATGCAAATCGGAGAGATCAAAACATTTTCCGTGTTGACACCATGCCCGTATCAACAAATATTTAGGCAGATTTTTGGATTTATGATTTTAAATAATCTGTCATGTTTAAGTAACTCTAAAAATGATAAATCGTATAAAAATATCGATAACTATGATTCATATAAATATATTATGCGCATATTTCTTAAGAGCGTTTTTGTGATTGATCGAAGATGTTCATCATATCGTAACAAAACGATGTCGCATCATATACATTAGGATGCTGCAACTACTTGACTCGAAGCAAGAAGTGATGCTTGAAGAATGAATTCGCATTTGAACTTGATGCTACAGGCTCTTGAGAAATTTTATATCTTTAGTTCTAGAAAAGAGGGGTTGAAAGAAATATTTCTCAGTTTTTCCTTCTGCAATTTTGAAGTTAACCGAATGATTATAAAAATTAGCTTATGCAAGTACGTATAACTATAATCAATGAGTTTAACTGCATGCTGTATTCAACGTAACACGATCGACAGCAAAAAGTAAGAGTTCATTTTTCAACTTTTATAAAGAGCTTTCATTTTTAAACTAACAATGCATTTTCCTATTAAATTTCACTGTTTATTAACTCGCTAATATTTTTGACACAAAATATTGTTTTCTTCCGCTTAGCCCACAATTTAAAAAAAAAATCATACATTTTTCAAAGAAATAAACTTTCAAAAATACGTAAATAATAATAATAATGTAATTTAATGTTGCTTGAAACTCTGATTAAAACTGTTTTTATGATTTCCTCTTTCAAATTGGTAAGTTCACTTAAAAAAATGCATACATGTTACTGTTATTGTTGTTTTACTGCTTTAGCTTAGCTACCTAAATTTTACTAACGTATTGCTTGAAGTTAACTGGATTTTAAATTCATAAACTTTTGCGATTGTTTTTCTAAGGATTTCGGATTTATACTTTGTTAACGTTGCTTTGTCATAGAAACTTTATTAATGTTTTTACGATTCTTTCTCTTCGCCACGTAATTTTTAGTCTCTTTGCACGGCTTGCAACATCGCCCTTAACTTTTCTATAAATTTACAATTTACTGTTATTATAACATTCTTAATCCTTTTATAAGCAGCAGTTTTTAGCATTGTAGAGGAGCTGTATTTGAAAATTAAATGTTATTTCGAGATACTTTTATTACTGTCTCCTTATAAATATGGATAGATTGACAGATATGGATATGCAAGACGTATATGTATATATATATACATATAGAGAAGCTGTTTAAAGGTGTTCAGCTTTATTTCTAGAGTTTCCCTCCCCTTCCTGTGCAGTGTCAACCATAAATGTAATAAAACAGCCAATCATGAAAGCTGGTTTGTAGAGACCGATTCATGTAAATAATGATACACATAGCTAATGATAAGCTAGCATATAATCCGCAATGATTAGTTCTAGCTGGAGCCACCGAAGCCAAGCCCGGCGGCTCTGGCCATAATTAAGCGCTGGTGTCGATTCTGAGTCAAAGCTTAAAATTTGTGAATTTTTCAGTTATGTTTGAATCATAGTATTAATGGAAGATTCTGTTATTAATGCAGTGTTTTATTTAACAATTTATAAAACTCAGGCATGCTTTACTTTTCATAGGAAACGCAAAATGAAGAAGAAAATTTGAATGACTGAGGAAGAAAGCTGTGTCCTTCTGATCATGACAGCTTGAACTGTACAATTTGGTCAAAAAAGGTTAAGCCAAAGTAAAAAAGGAATTTTATCTGATTTCAAGAGGAGTACTTAAACAAACAAGTCTTTCTTTCTTTTATCCTCTGCACCCACAGCTTGTTACTATTAACTTAATCGCCTTTCTTTTGGTATTCCGAAAATTAAATAAAATAATAATTAATTTTATTTAATTTATGTAATATATTAATTTACTAATTTCCTGTTTGCCGAAATTAGTTAAGTTTCTTACTTTATTTACTCTTTTAACTTATTAATATTTTTATTCATCTCTTTATATTATATTTTATTTAAAAACTCGTTATTGGTTGTTTTATATCTTATTTATTTAATTCTCCGACGATAGATCTCCGTCACTTCTGATTTTGAAAATTAAGCTCTGATACATACTATAAATAATAAAAAAATCATTATTTATGCCGGGTTATTGATACTTCTGTCGAATTTCTGAGACCTTTCTAAATTGTTCTTCGTAAATTGTTCATTTGTGGCTAAATGTGTATAAAAGCAGTTATGAATGTACATGTGATGGAGCATCTATGTTTATTTATAATCACATATTATAGAGCCATTATTTGTTATTATTTTATGTTTAATAATATTTTGATACATTTGGTTAATTTACTCGAAAGTCAGACCCCTCGACCATCTTTCTATTTTAGGATAAGTTACAAAATAAAAATGTAAGTAAATAGTTATTTTGTCTTCAGAAATTCTAAGAAAGAGAATCTTATTGATTATCCTTCATTCAGAATTTCCTTAAAATAACAGTATTTTTATCTATGGCCCCAAAACAAAGAAAAGGTAAAGGAAAAGTAGTTGTTTTTTGGTATATTAGTAACACGAATGCAAACCGAAGCTGAAACTCTCAGCTAAGAAGGCGCTATTTTGATTAGAGGTAGTTATGTATTTATGTACATGGTAATTCCCTATGTGCTTTATTTAGCATTTAAACAGTGTAATTATTCTATGTAATATGATAATAAAAGTCTCTTCCTCTCGAGAATCTGCAGTTTATCAAAATACCCATTTATAAGACCCTTCTAAATTTTAGAAACAAAATATAGCAGAAAACATGATCTTATTTTCGAATAAATCTATGCTTCACGTATAAGAAATTTCTAAAGAAAGGCATTGGCCTGCTAACCTAATTTCGATGATTTATTTTGCATATTATATGCCATTTATCCATAATAGCACTGTATTTACTTTCATTTCTTTTGTTAATTCATTCATCTATTGTATTTGAAATTTATATTAAACTAAGCAAAATTAAGATCTGAATATTAGCAACAGTCTAAAAGTGTCATGACCTAATTAAAAAAAATCCTAAGACGTATCTCTGTGATCTCCATTTGAATGTCTGAGTGATATTTCACAGTTTTAGGCAATAACATCGGATTGCGTTCTGACACGCTTAGACTGTTAACTGTAAAATGAAAATATTCATTTCGTGTTTGTTTTTAATGCCTGTGTTAGAATTTTTTTAAAAAATGCATGCGGTAGCAAATATTGAACTGCTGCTAATGCCTCGATATGTACCAAATGATTTTCTCTCGTGAGTCATGGGCTGCAAGTCTTACGTGCCTGCATCTCAGGTAACAAAGCTCTAACACGATACATATATTAAAAAAAAAAAGGAAAGAAAAAGAAACACCTCATGAATAAAACAACCCAAAAAAAGTGTTTTCTCTTTTTACCAAATCAAATCATGAACTACCATTTTCGATGAATGTCTTGCAGACCTTGTGCTGCCGTGACGAATGTAGGGTGCGCGTCTGTGACTGATACCGCGTACGTGACTCTTTTACGGACGGGTTGACGATCGAGACCGCGATGAGAGAGGCGACTTCACGGCAGACGACGTCAATGGCTCGCGGCGGGAAAGGTCTTTCCTCGCTCGCGGTTACGGCGTCTGCGATACCGCGATGTTTCGTGCTCGACACGGCTCGTGGGGCGGAGGGTTTGCGGCGACATTGCACAGAAACAGCTTCTTTACCAGGAAGTTGGACGTGTGTTAAGCCGAAATTCACTCTTTTGGGGGCTTAAGAAGAGCCATGTTGCACATGAATTCCATCTTCAGAGAAGAGCAGAAGGAAAATGTTTTTGGAGGACTGGGAAGCATAGATGTCTAAACAGGAACACTGAATGTTTTTTACATTGCGGGAAAGAGTTGGCTAAATTCTCTATTAAATTTATCTAAACTTATGCGTCTCCTATTTACGGCTGCGGATCTCTCTACTTTACTTCTCATTTTTTTTAAATATATATCTAAGTGTTATTTATCAGTTTGTGAAATTATTTATTTCTCCTCTCATCTCCCTTCTTCTTTTCCATTTCTTTGTCCTTATGACAGTATGTGTTTTTAATATAGCATCTTAATTTAGTCTGACAATCCCTTAATCAAAATTTTAGTTAATTTAAGAGATTCCTTTTTCCATGACATTAATATTAATATTTACCATGCTAAATGTAATCAGCATCTAGTTATATTTCGGCAAAATTTTCAGGGGTTGATTATAATTAGCGGCTTCTTTAAATACCCACCCAGTCTAAACACGAGTAGTATAAACTCGAGTGGAAAAACTTTAAATACCAGTCTAAACTCGAGTGGGAATGAATATTCTTTTATTTCACATAACCCTTTTCCCAAAGATACTAGGCTGACGTGAAAGACTTATAACAGTATAAATAATAAAAAAAGGCGAGAAAATTCGTAACACCTTCCATACATTGGTCACCTTTCAAATACGATTTCATGTTCATTTTATCGGTCTGCCGTCTGCGTGAGAATATATTATTATCGTCGTTTTTAAATGGCCAAACACTTGCAACTTAATGTGTTAATCGGGAATGGCGAATGTTCATCGGTAATTTCGCCATCTCATCGCCCTTGAGAACATGACAGTTCCGGATCAATTTTTGATGAAGATGTGGTGTGGTGTATTTAATTATGGCAAAGCTCACTAGGGCTATCTGCCTAAGGGGAGGGATGCCTTCGTGGAGGACTTTCTAAGAGGGGAACTGGCTCGTATACACGTTACACATGGGGAAAACCATGAAAACACCCATGCAGCCAGCCCGTTCGCGGGATTCGAACCTCAGACCGAACTACCAGTGTTCAGCGACTTTACCGCTCGGCCGCTGGTGGGCCTATTTTGATGAAGAATGAGGGCGAATTTGCAGTCTCCAAACACACTTCTCTTAACACCAAACCTCTCGAGAGGACTTTCGGTTCGCCCGTTATGTTAGGTGCCCGCCATGTTGCGTAGGCATTATACACTTACGATCATTCAAGCCTTCTTGGGGATCCAAACCCGAGCTTAGCCATATAACAACCAGCATCATTAACCACTGTACCGATTATTCGCGCTGTATATATAAAGCAGTGATTCTCAACCTATTTTGTATCGTGCAACCCTTTTACCACTGTTTAAAGGTCATCTCCTCCTCCTTCCAAAACTCGAAATATGCATGTATACAATTATTTAAATTTAGATCATGTTTGTAAAGTGTTTTATAAGCTAAGCAACAAAAAGTATAGAAAAAGTTGATAAATACCAGAAGTATAGAAAGTAGACATAATTTCCATTAAACTCGACTATAATGCATGTTTGTATGCATACATATGCATCGATATAGCAACAGGCCTTTACGTTCATTTACATGCAAAATTTATTTCTGTTTTGTGCTTTCCTCTACGTACACTATAGGGATGAGAAGATAGATAATGAGGTAAATAAATGTGGATACAAGGTCTGAAATGAACGTCATTCATATTTAAAAACAATAATTGAACTATCGTGTTTCTTCTTCAGAAAAAACATGATAGTTCAATTATAGGAAAAAGACTTTTTGAATTTGGCATTTAATGAGGTCACAACCGACTGAAATATTTATAAACATGTACAAGGAGTAAGTTGCATGACGACAAGTTGATTAATAATTAGCATAACTCAGCTCTGGAGCTCATTTCAGAAGGAAATTTGGAAAGAACTTTAAAAGTTATGAATTTCAAAATCTTATTGGAATAAATTTTCGAAATTTTCCAGTTGTTAATTATCAGAATATTTGTCTTTTAAAAAATTCGAATTTCGAAGGATTTAGAAGCGTTCAGAAGGGGTGACTGTATCTTTTTAAAAATTATATGCATAAATTTATAAAGAAGTTCTAAGACTTTTTTTTAATAGTCAATGGAAAAAAAATTAAGTATGTATTTATTTCTAAAGCTGTTTTAATCTTCGCGCTAATATCCGAATATGAGAAATAACTTTGCAAATGTTTAAATTAATTTCGTAATGTTATATTTTAAAAGATCTTTTGGTAATATAGATTTTCACTGCACATATCTCTTGAACTATTGGACTTTTCCTGCAAATATATCGTATTTACTCGCGTAATAGTCGCCCTGAAGTAATAGTCGCACTCCCATTTTGAAGTAGAAAAAATCATCAAAAGTGTACAATATTGTGCAGTACATTTCCCCGCATAATAGTCGCACCTAGACTTTAACAATGCAAAATTAGCCAAAAATGTACGACTATTACGCGAGTAAATACTGTAGGTATCAATGTACATATAACAAAATAGGAATTCATGGATATATACTGAATGCAACCCTCATGTATTTGTTCAACTAATAATAAATATTTTAAATGAACTCCTCTGTCACAAAAACTACAACCCAAAACTGATCTGAAAGGATCATACTTACTTGAAAAAAAAAGCTTTTAAACTCTATAATTTAATTTTAGAGAAATACAAAGAAATGTTAGCTGCCTAAATAGAAGCGACTAATTTGCTTGCTACGTTCAATTGTTTTCTCATCCCTGTCTGTTATGCAATGACTAAAAAAAAAAAGTTGAATTAAAAAAAAAAAAAAAAAAGAAGAAAAGAAAAGTAAAAGAAAAAAAAAGTGCCTCTTAGTAGCTTTAGTCGTCATATGGGCTTATGATTTTATGAAAATATAAATCGGAAAGTAATTTTTTCTCTATTGTTCTAACTCTAAAACATATTTTGATGAATTGCAGTTAAAATTATGCGTATAAATTTGCAAAATTAGCAGCTGATTTGTGAAAGCACACACATTTATCAAAATACATAGTAATATCAATTATAGCAGCTCATGTTTAGCCCCCAAAAAAGTGTTTAAACAATAAATATTTTTTTACATTGTAGGATTTCTAAATAAAAAAGGAAAGCTTTGCTTATTGAAAACAAAATTCAACAGCATGTGTTATTCAGTGATCTTTTTAAGAAGATATTTTAAGTCCAGCTGACAGTTTATAAAAATAATAGAGCCTTGGGTCTTTGAAAACGAGATTTACAAACATAATTTTATATGATATGTGATTTTATGATTTCTTTGTGAAATAATAATAAAAATAGTTTTTTCAGAGATAGAAGAAGTTTTAAGAAGATTTCTTTGTAACTGCTTACCTGCCTTAAATACAGATATTATATATTCCCGGTTTTACAAATTAAATGAAATATTTTTTATGTATTATTTCTTTTTTTAAGTATGAACAAATTATTGATTATTTGTAGGAAAAGGAGCAGTTACGATGAGACACTTTTGAAACGTAAATTTCTGATGAAATCTGAGAAATAGATTAAATTTTGTGTTCAAGAGTAACAGATGTAATGTAAGTTTTTTCAAGACAGACAAAGAAAGATGTGTAAGGAATTTCAAATGCAAAACATTATCGTCATTTAATAAAACTGCCAGAGTAAGAAAGGTAGATTCCATTCTAAATTAAACATTTAAAATCTTTTTAAAGTCTTTGTTTAACTGAATGGAAACTCAGTTTGTTTTGGTTTATTGAAATTAAGGCAAAGCACATTAGGGCTATCTGACTAAGGGGAGGGATGCCTTCGTGGAGGAATTTCTAAGCACATGGGGAAAACCACGAAAACGCCCATGCAGCCAGCCCGTTCGCGGGATTCGAACCTCGGACCGAACTACCAGTGTTAATCCTTTTCGTCACGCTACCTTTTAAAGTTGGAGTTTAAAAAAAAAAAAAAAAAAAAAAAGGTAGGCAGTCTAATTAGGCCTAGAGGAGTACACAAGTAAAATTTTGTTAAGATAGCACTTATCTTTTAATTCTGCGAGTGTGCTCAAAGTGGTCAATGAGCTGCCAATGTTGTCAATGAAATGACCGATGAGATGCGGAGAAAGAAAGAATACAGACTCTCAGTTGTTCTAGGTTATCGGTGAGCCCGGTCTCGGCACACCTAGGGTTCGCCGTTTGATTTTAGGCAAAATTTCAAGGTAAAAATTTAAAACTAATATAGAATAAGGAATTTAGCATACAGCCAAAAAATAACATAGAAATTTCTTCAGAAGTCAAACAACAAAAATCAGCGTTATATTTACAAAATTTTCACAGGACTAGTTTCGATGGTTTTTATCGAACCACCATCCTCAGCTGCAAAACCGCAAATGATCGCAACCTCATTTGCGGTTTTGCAGCTGAGGATGGCGGTTCGATAAAAACCATCGCAACTAGTCCTGTGAAAATTTTGTAAATATAACGCTGATTTTTGTTGTTTGACTTCTGAGTTAGTATTTATTCGGCGTGTTATTGTGTCTTATTAGAAATTTCTTTTCAAACAATTCCTTTTATACCATAAAAATATCTGGAATATTTCTTTGAAAAAGGTTTCTTTGAGGGTCTTAAAAAACTAAACATGGCTAAAATCTATGGATTAGTTTGTGATGAGCTGCCATCTACTATAAATAAAGAAGGTTCATAATAACCTATAAATCCTTTTCCATTCAATTTTTCTGTGCGTACAGAAGGAAATTTTAGGTGTGTCCAGACCGGGCAACACTGTGCTGCAAAGGGTTAAGCGACTTTACCGCTCGGCCGCTGGTGGGCACGAATGGAAACTCAGGAGCACATATGTTGTAAAAACGAAAGCATTCTGTTCAAAAATTACATAAGAAGCACCTTTATTTTCTGTAACTGTTGATTTTTATTGCAATATTATCATATATTATTGAAATTAATACTATCATTAAAATAATGCAATTATTGTAATAGATGTAACAGGAATATCCTAATTCAAAGTGATCCAAATCTGTCTCTAAATTAGACTGTAATTCTGAAGCTATTGAAACCATTTACCTTAGAGAAAACTTCCATGTCTTTTCATGTGACAGTCTGATATCGGTGTCTCTTTATCAAGGGGGGGGGTCATTGAAGTTGTTTTTCTCAAAACGCACGAAGAGCGTCTAGCCATCTTAGGGATGTTGAATATTGCTTTAAGTTAAAAATTATTTAGTCTACTTTTATTAAATTTAAAAACGTACTGTCCTGAACGTTTGAGCATTAGATGCAATACAGTTACACTTTTTCTTTTTTAAATCGCATAAAAAATTGCTGGTAAAGTTAAATTTTCATTATGAAGATAGTTCTGTAGATTGCAACATTATGCTGCCTAAGACTGTTTCTAATTTACAGAAAGCACTGTTTTATGTTTCATAATTTATTATAAGCATTAATTTGGGCATTAATTATAATAATAATTAGGCAAAATATAATGATTAAACTGATTAAAGTTGGTGATATGATTATCAAGTATACTTTTATTCCGTTTTTTTTCTTTGTATTTGTATTTATTTATTATTTGCCTTGAAGAACTTCATCTGATAAATTCTGTACATATTCCATTAATATCTTTTTACTTTTCAGGTAGTAATTATTTTCTGCCTCGAAATTTTCGCCTCCAGATATCGCAATTCTCAGAGATTTTCTTTCGTCCTATTTTAAAAGAAAATTCTAAGGTAAGTTAAATTTCGCAGTTAATTGATATTTTAAAACAAGAGAACACAAACAATTGTAAATTTCTATCACGTAACAGTTTTCAGCTATGAATTTCTAAACATGAATATATTTTAGTGAAATATTGTCCACTGAAATTAAAATATCGTAGGCTTTTAAAGGAAATCAAAGTATTTTGGGACATGCAGTCAAACTCTGCAAATAGTATGAAAACTCATTTTTGTTATATGCATAATAAAATATATAGATCAAAACATAAGTAGATTGTCTAGATATGATACTCACTTTTCTGAGGGAAAAGGCGGAAAAATATATGCAAATCTATTTCAAAAAGTTTTCACAGCGAACTCTTGAATGGAGGTTGATCGGAGGGCTGTGGCTTCAGTTTAAGAGCTCAGTCAAATAATGATAACTTTGGTTTCGTGACAATGTTTAGTATAAATAAAGGAAATTTCTAATTTTGTATGGGTACTTTACGCAGAGCGTTAATACGTTCTTACCAAATCTGTTGAGGAACATTATGAAAACATCGAGGCTCACATTATGCAGAATCTGTCCCGAAAGAATAAATGTCAAAATTATGCAATTTAAGATATTTTTCACTCGGCTTACTTTTGTAAGACCGGTACCGCCTAGAGCTTAGAAATGACAGTGCACAGAATTTAGGATTGACACTGCGTTAGAATCAGCAAGGCATAATCGACACCGACATACGGCCGACACGACAATATAATAGTACTGCTACTACTACTACTAATAATAATAATAATGGAGATGATATGATAAATAAAATATAACAAGATTATTTCCCGTTTGACACCTGCACAGTTTCCGTCACAGGTATATGATCGGTTAGGTTGATTGAATATGGAAACTCACAAGGGCTATTTTCCTTAAGGGAGGTATGTCTTTGTGTAGGTCTTTCTTCTTATGAAAACTGACCCGTCTTCACATTACACATGGGAAAGGGAATGAAAAACCAGCTATACAGCCAGCTATTGCCTAAGATCAAGCCTGGGTCAGTATTTAGTAATCTTAACCCCTTGGCCACTGGTGGAACCTGCGATGAGTAAAGTCAACACCGGGATGTAATTGATAAAGCATCGATCCACATCGACATAGGACTGTCACTGCATAAAAACCACATCCTCATAGGATCGAATGGGATGTAATCGACATTGGCATAGTGCAGTCAATGCTTACAATTATCAACGGCTCATAATCGAGATATAAAGAATCTGATTACATTATTATTTCAGGTTACCAGTATTAGGATAGACACCGGCATATGTTTAAAATCGGTTTTTCAACTACCGTGTTAATCCCATGCTGGCAAGCGATTAACACAAGCAATCCAACTTAGTCCTAGGCAGTGCCCATGTTATGCTACATTCCCTTTCATCTAACGAAAAGAACACCAGTTTAGGGATCGCATAAAGCTGTGTTTCATTACATATAAAATTTCGAATTTTAGCATTCTTACAAGTGTTCATTTTAGCCAATTATTTATAAATTAATTCTTTGTTGCGTAAAAATGATATTTCCGAAATTCTAATTCTAATTCGAAAACTTAACGTCTGTTCCTTTTTTACATAGTCTCCAAATTTTAATTCGTGATATTTCAGATAATATTGAATGTTTAAAGGGAGATTTGCTTTTCTCATTTCACTATTTCGACCAGTCAAAATGTATTTTTTTAGCGTTTTCTAGAAAATGTTAAAATATATATTGTTTCAGATTTTTGGTCATATAATTATAGAAGTATTTTATCGAACTAACATTAATATGCACATAAATGATCTCTTTAGAAACTGTGTATAGGAGGTACTCAGAACTGAATAATGAAGTTTATAGTAAAGTTTATAAATTTTCAAATTACAAATCAATTTATCATACAATTTATAAATTTAGAATTTGCGCTTGACTTGCTGGAACGTCCTAGAATTTACTAACTTTTTAAAAGTAAGTTAAATTTCTCAAACCTTTACATAAAGTTTTAGATAAATTTAAATTTTACTTAAAACTTATCTCCTTTCAAAATAATAGGTAATGTTGTGGGTATCTCTCGAATATTATGTCAGAAGTCATTGCGGTTTAGAAGTTCTAAATCTAGTATATCGGCTTAGAAGTTCTAAAGCTTAAAATAATAAATTAATTAGACTTCACGTGTCTGATTTAATTACAGCTTTTAAATTCAATGACTTTTCTGTGCATGCAGACGAAAAAGAATTTTGCTGATGCATTAAGAGCTTTAAACACAGAAACAACAGAAATAAAATTCCTATGATTTTTCAACTGGAATATTAATAGCTTTAATATGGTAATGTAAATTGCATTTTATGTAAACTGGGATGTTAATATCTTTAACTTACAAATGGTTGAATGACATGTTATTTTGGAAAATATACTTATGTAGCTCCTCACATTTTACAGTTTCATCGTACTAGACAGAATATAGTATAGCCTCCCATGTCAGATGATTTTACATTTTTGAAATATTTTGCAAGGAGCGAAAAGTGCATGAATATTAGACAATGTTGCATACGAATATATAATTCTGATTCAGTGGTTTGGTTTTGGTTTTATTTAATTACGGCAAAGCACACTAGGGCTATCTGCCTAAGGGGAGGGATGCCTTCGTGGAGGACTTTCTAAGGGAAACTGGCACGTATACACGTTACACATGGGGAAACACGAAAACGCCCATGCAGCCAGCCCGTTCGCGGGATTCGAACCTCGGACCGAACTACCAGTGTTCAGCGACTTTACCGCTCGGCCGCTGGTGGGCCATCTGTTTCAGTGAAACGGCAAAGGAATTTAATTAAACTTAAGGCAATAGATTTCATTTTAATTTAAAAATTTTAAAATAAATAATAAATGAGCTTCATGTATTTTTAAGTATTAGGATGTGCATTTATACATATATAAATATGGGTATAGTTTTAAGACAGACATTTTAAAGGAGACAAAGTCTTAACTGTGAGCCCTTACGGTATTTTGCTTTATTTTCACTTTTAGTTATTTATTTTTTTAATATGGAGCAGAGTTATATGAATTTCCTTGAGTCCTTTTAAATCGATGTATGTTGGTAGACGTAGCTTTTTTATTCAAATTCGGGGAATTTTGTGTGCATGCAGACAAAAAAATTAATTTGCGACTCAATAGGGCGAGATTTACTATAAACTTAGGAATATTATTTCTGCTCTCGAAGGTACTGCTCTTCTCACGAAAGCAGATTATGTTGATTTGCTACTGAAAGGTTGCATAAAAATGGGATTGCTTTCGTTTTAGACACGTGGATTTCGTGACGCTGTTGACTTTCTTTTTTTTCTTCAGGTCTTCCTTTACATAGTTTCGTGAGGTGCAGGGAATCTGAAACTCTAGTCGTAGATTTTGAAACACTACCTGTACACTTATCTGGATACAAAGGTATCAGTTTATTTTTGCCACTGACCTTTTTTCAGAAAGAAAAAAATAAGGAGCATTATTTTGTTAAAGAAGATAAGTTTTACTCAAAACTGAAAATGAAGTGAAAAAAATCCTCAGAACTATGAATTTCATATAATAGCAATCGGCTTGCAATTTTAAATGAATAGCCTGAAAGAATGTTTTCAGTTTTAGTAAGCCATTATTATCAAGAAGTGTAAGCCATTGTTAAAGAAAGGAATTTTCTTTATTTTCTCCTCTAAAATAAGTCATTTGAATAATGACTTAGTTCTACGACATCCGTAGATCTAAGCTGCTTTATTTCCCTTCATTTAAAGGTTGCCAGAGATCCATCATGATTTGGAAAGAATAATACAAGTAAAACGAACCAACGTGTTTAAGAAAAATTAACGTTTCAAATATTATTGCTTCTAAAGCGATAGTATTTGAATTTTATACTAATGCTATACTATAAAATTAAAATACTATCGCTTATACATACTTTTCTATACTATACGATTTAGAATTGATACCTATATCAGTATTAATTCTAAAAGTACGTAAATATCTAAGTTAAATCCAGACGACATGCAATTCATAATGTGAAAATATGTCAAATGCAGTGAAAATATGTGAAAATAAGTAGAGTAGCTGTTAGGAAAAAAAAAAAATGTGATTTTCATATTTTATTTGAAATCGGGTGCAGGTGGTTGGTTCATAATGTAAGTAAATTTAAGCAGTATACTACATAAAACCTGCAGGTTTTATTCCATCTGAGTTTAAGCGTATGGCCAATATTTTAATCTAATAGAAAATAGTGGTTAAGACGCTGAACACTGGTAGTTATATCCAGGCTCGAGTGTCGTCGAGTGGGTTAGCTGCATGTATTTTTTTCTTTCAAGGTTTCCCCTATTTATAATGCAAATACCAGCCAGCTTCCCTTAAAGAGTTCTCCACGAAGACATTCCTCCCTCTAGCTTTCGTTTGTTTTTCAGCGTATTAAAATAAAAACTTTAGAATATTTTTTAAATTGCAATGTTAATATTTATTGTTGTTTTTTTCATTATGAGCTGAATTTAATTCAGTGTCTTTAACACTTTTCAGACAAGAGCAAAAACAAGATGACATTTTCTACTGAAACACGTCGACCAGTTTTCTGTTGGAGATCGCCAGCTGTGTGAAAAACTACTATTTCGTTGGCTGAGCTGAGAAAAAAAGGCTGGATTACAACGAAATGCATACTTCGAAAAGATTCTTACCAAAAAAAGTGCATTTAAAGAACACGTACTTTTATGTTTCAGACATTGCTTTTTCTAATATTACTCGTATATGCTTTTATTAGCTGGTTAAGGTTTCAAACTGAGCTAACTAAGTTTCGTTGCTTTCTTCTTTTACAGGAAACCTAATGACACTTAGAATTCGTTTTCCTGTGAACGCTAGTGAAGCAAATTTCATCAAAACAAAGCTCATAAAGTGAACTTTATGCAAACTCATGAACTGCATGTAAACTTTGTAATATAAGTGATGTGTTAGTTTTAAAAATAATGTGTCAATTAAATTTTCGTATTTGCATTGAGAAACTTGGTCGTTATTATTATTCTAATGATGCATTATAAGCTAAATTTAAGACAATCTTGTGTAATATTTTAGAAAGAAACATCTTTACTGAATGAGTAATGTTTCTCTTTTATTTATAAATGTCTGTTTTGAATTAGTTTAAAATGTAATGCTGTTACCTGACGTCAAAAAAAAAAAGCGTTGAAAAATAAATTATGTAGTCAGGATTTTATTTATTATTTACGTGTTGTTGTTCTACTGCACATGAATACTCTGATTTATGCTATAAATAAAAGTATTAAAAGACAGAATGAAGGCGTCAGGATTTCATTTTCGAAGACCTGAATAATCTTTATTTTTAATTTAGATGAAATTTCCACCAAAATTTATAACCAAAAACAAATTTGAGTTTCCAGTGAAGTATGTAAAATGTCTGATAAAATCTTTAATTTAGTGCTGCTACGATATTAAGACGTAATTGAATACAACATTTTTTTTCCAACGAAAAAATATGTAATAAGAAAAAAAAAAAAAAAAAGAAAATTGTTTTGTACTTCGAGATTCAAACACTTTGACGTGTCAAGGATTTCTGTTACCTTAGTTATCGTAATTATTATTTTGAGCCACTGAATATTTGTCATTGCATCAATTCAGAACCTAGAATGCGATAAAGATATCGAGATATGTTTGAAACTGAAGGATCTGTAATGGGGAATTAGGGGAAAGAAATTGTTAACTGCTGAACAAACACTACAAGAAATATTATTATAGCTTTCACTTGCATGTGTGTGAATTTCAGCTCGCTGCTGATGTCTCATTCTGCAGTTGATAAAGTTATCGTTATCCAGCCATCAAAGTCTCTGAAGAAAGTTTCAGATTTGACAAGGACTGACTATAAATAAGGAGAAGAAGTGAAAGCCATTAATGAAATTACTAGTTTCTTCAGTGTTCATCTCAGTTTGCTTTTCTGGTACCAGTGACAGGCAACCCATCCAGGCAGTGTAATCACAAAGTGTGAACGGAAAGCCTCGGAGGAGTGTTGGGCTGTGAGTATTAATATGACCTCTGTTGCGTGTGTCTACGATGAAAAGATTTCGCCCTCAAGACCTCACGAACATTTTAATCCCTCTTTATGACACCATTTTCGATTACCTCATCCCCCCTAACAACTAGTTAGCTTTTCAAATTATCATCCAGACTTTGAAACTGTCTGCGTTTATTCTTCTTAGCTTGTATTCTTCCTTTTTTTTTTTTTTTTTTTTTTTTTTTTTTTGCTGCTTTTTAAAAGGATTTTTAGGGAAATCCCTTAACAGTTAGCTCATGATACAAGGTTTTCGAAGGAAAAAAAATTAATCCAGTTCCTTATGAGAAATAAAGAATTACTTAGAGTCGTTAGATGATATTCCAAACGAATTTTTATTGTTCACGAAAACGTTTCATGTCAATTTTGCATCCGACGACAAGTGAAGACATAACTTCATTCGACTAAAATATGCAAACATAGTTCTTCTTTTGCTACCTCCGGTTATTTTTGCATCAAATAATAGCCAGAAGGTGATCTTTGGTAATTTTTGCACTAAATAGCCTCCAGAAGTACACCAAATATCTGAATTTCTTTTGCTAAGGATTATTCAGTAGACAAATGTTTATGTAAATATTGCAAGGGAAACGCAAGGCATTAATCTTCCTGTGTCAAGTTCTGCATAATTACAGAAGGCTTTACGATTAATACGAAAGAAGAGCTCTCATCTCTCAAAGCAAAGCAAGAATGCGAGCAACTCTCCTATTATTTAACATCTTCCTGCAATTGCCGCGATTGTTGGCGTGTTAACATACAGGGCTACTAAGCGGAAATTCTTAGTTTGAATGAAGTGACAGCCAGAGTTTTTATGACTTTTTTTTTAACTTTATAAATGAGATTTTATTTTGAAAGAAAATTTGTTCACGAAAAATACTTTTAAGGAAATAACATAAAAAATCAAGCAGTAACGAAAAATTTGGCAGTAAAAAGTAATCTTTCATTTATTTCTTTCTAACTTAACTATTCATGATTATTATCATAAAATATCATAAAAACATTCAAAATATGAAATACTGGTTTTGGATGCATTGAACAAATTATCGTTTATCATAAATTTTCTTCTAAATTACATTTACTAAAAATTCCAAGGACTAGAAGGGCATTCTCAGTAAGCAGCATAGAATACTTTTTCTTATATATTCTGGAATGCTACGTAGACCCGCATTTTTGTTTATTAAATACATATTGTAAATGAAAATTGAAACTATGTTAAACTATTAAACGTGCTGTTAATATCAGTATCTTTTTTTGAAAATTTATGTGACAAATATCATTTACCTGTTGTCAATAAATTTATGAAAAATACATTAAATTAAAACAAGATAAACAAAAAACTGATTTTTTGTGTGAAATTTTAGCACATCATTTTTTGTGTCTTTGTTATTCAACATTTCTTATGTTTAGAGAAAGTTATGGCGCATAATGCAACGATTCCAGGAAATAAGAAATTGAAAGTTATATTGGTGTTTATGAATTCGGGAAACAAATTAATTTTTAAAACTTTCGAAAACAAAAATATGACAGTAAAGATTATTTAATGTTACTTGTCATATAATAAATAGAAATATTTTATGGCTCGGTGCAAAAAAATTCGGCAATTTCAGCAGAAATCTATAGAAGTCAAGATACAAGTGCAAGGTAAATGACATATCGGGTTCTGCATAAAAGTAATTTAACTTCCTGTTTGTATATATTATATATTACAACATTACAAATCGGTCGCCTACTGCCTTCTAAAGTGGCTTTTTTTTTTTTTTTTTTTTTTTTTTTTTTTTTTTTTTTTTGCCCCTAAAAGGATAAAAAATATTATGCAATTATTTAAAATATTTCTTACATATATATTTTTTCGTTAAAATTTAATAATTTCTTATTACGTAGTACAGTAGAAGTCCATTAGTCCGGCATCCAACAGTCCGGAATGCCCGATAGTCCGGCATCGCTCCGGAAAATTGTAAAAATTTTGGTTTTCTCCAAAAGTGTGTCTTTAAAAAAGCAAATAAAAAAACCGCTCGAGAGCTATTCGGAAGTTTTCGGGGGTAGTTCGAGATCATCCGGAAGCGCTCGGTATTGTTCGGAAACAATTAGCGGGCCGGCTAGTCTCAGCTGTCACAACAAAAATTCAGGTGCAGTGCAGCTCCGTTAATCAATCACGAAGCGTCTTCGCCATTTTTTTTGTGCGTTGTTGTTTTGTGTCCTTTCACATCGCAGTAAACGTAACTTTTGAAACTGTTTATAAAAAAAAGTGATTTTCGTTCTAACTGTACAGTGACCATGTTTTCAAAACCTAAGCCTTCGAGTTCAAAAGGAGAGAAAAAGAAACGAAAACACGTAACACTGACTCTCAATCAGAAACTAGACATCATCAAACGGCTAGAAAAAGGCGAGCGAGAATAGAAATGTTTTAATGAATGAGTTTAATATTGGCTCATCTACTATTTATGACATTAAAAAAAACAAAAGAGAACTAATGAAGTTTGCTTCTCAATCGGTAACAACTGAAAAAATTGGCTTCTAGAAAACATTAAAAAAACCAAAACTGGAACAGCTAGATAGTGTATTGTTCAAATGGTTTAGCGCAGTACGTTCTGAAGGAAAGCCGGTAACAGGGCCAATGATTGTTGAAAAGGCAAAGAAATTCGGCCAAGATTTAGGAGTTGCTGAAAGTGAATGTAATTATTCTGATGGTTGGCTGAAGTTTCGGCATGGAATTCGAAGACTTGATGTAACTGGAGAAACCCCTTTCAGCAAAAAATCAGGAAAGGAAAAGGAAAACATCAGCTGGGCAGAAGCTGCAGAATCACTAAATAAGTTTATCTCTTTGCCGAGGCTAGTACTAGCTACAGTGCTTCAGAAATTATTGATTTCCATATCATTAGAAATAAATTTTATACTAAACGCCAAAAGTCAAGAAAACAAAAAGACATTCGTGACTTTTTTAAATCTAAGTGAAATATGTTTTACAGTACGTGTACATACATTATATGAAATGTAAAATAAACTTTGTTGTATGTATTTGCATACTGTATTTTTAGTTTAATTATTAACCTAATTGTTCTTATAATTACCGCCCGATAGACCGGAATTTTCGGTAGTCCGGCACCGAGCCGGTCCCGAACGTGCCGGATTATCGGACTTCTACTGTAACTGTTAAATGACTTAAAGGAAAATGACGAAATTGCTCTGTAATTGTTTTTTCCATAATAATACATTCATAACCTTTCGCAATGTATCGTTCTACGACAAAATAAAAAGATGCAATTTACAGAATTAGTTGCAGAACCAATAGTAGAATAACAGTGCAGGAATCATTGCAATTTCTATATTTTGATTTATCGTACTCAATTATGATTGGCAACAAGGAGGAAAGAAACAGGAATGCTATCAGACAGCCAATTATACCTTTCTTATTGCTTAAACAATTTTATATTTAATTACTACATTTTCATGCAAGAACAGATAACCATGAGACGTATTTTCTGTTCAGGAAAATATTCTGTATTTTCCAACCAGGAAAGAAAGAACATATGACCTTAATTTTACAAATGACAGGAAGTCTGGTCTTTTATATTCTGCTTTATGTTAAAAAAATTATCGATGGAATTCGATAGTAAAGCTTCCTTTTTGTCATACTTGATCAGCTTTTGTAGTCATCTAAGTTTTTTTGTTTGTTTGTTTGTTTGTTGTTGTTATTATTTTTCAGTTAATAAAAAATTATCTTTACAAAGTTAATATTCTATTAATTATTTTTATTGACTAGTATTCTTTCTATAAATAAATTCAAATTGATTAATTACAGGTGATTTTTTATTTATGTTTCTTGATATTATAATAACTAATAAAATAACGTGAAAAAAATATGAAGATTCCTAGAGAACGGGCCTAATAATTTTCTCTAAAAAGATATATGCGCGACAATTTGATTTTTCCAATGACAACACATACTTTCGTCATCAACTCATTTCTACTGTGGTATAAGTTCATGAATTAATTAATGTAATAAACGAGAAAAATGTCTTCTTACACCTCTGTTTAAATCTATTTATATCTGAACACTGCCCCTTCCCCACCTGTTGCTATGAGAAAAATATATCTTCCTCAAACAACTGTTTGCCACAAAAGGGGTGCATCAGATCACACCTTTTCTCATGTCTGTAAAAAAAAAAAAAAAAAAAAAAAAAAAAAAAAAAAAAAAAAAAAAAACACTTTACAGTATTAGACCAGCGTGCGAAC